CACAGAAAAATGTTGATACACTGGGACTTACAATTCTGAGCCCATTCGTAATAGAAAAGTTAACACAAGGATAATTCAATTTAATTTATTTTAGCCTTTTTTATTCTCCCTCTTCTGTTATTTTCATAACTCAGCAGCAAATGCAGTGGGTGACATAAGGAGTGTCTGGGCACAGTGTGGTGGAGAAAGGGCTGCAGAGTGGGATAGAGATGGGCACCCCACAGCATCACTGGGGCCCTGGCTGGGCTTTCTTGGGGTTCTGGGACTGTGAGAGTCCTTGAGTGCCTCATGACTGATGCTCCTACGAAGAAAGGCTGAGAGTTGGGATTGTTCAGCCTGGAGAAAAGGAGGCTCCAGGGAGACCTGAGAGCCCCTTCCGGTGCCTAAAGGGGCTTCAGGAGAGCTGGAGAGGGACTTGGGACAAGGACCTGGAGAGACAGGACAAGAGGGAATGGCTTCCCACTGCCAGAGGGCAGGGATAGATGGGATATTGAGAAGGAATTGTTGGCTGTAAGGGTGGTGAGGCCCTGGCACAAGTTGCCCAGAGAAACTGTGGCTGCCCCATCGCTGGAAGTGTCCAAGGCCAGGTTGGATGGGGCTTGGAGCAACCTGGACTAGTGGAAGGTGTCCCTGCCCATGGCAAGGGGTGGGACTGGATGGGCTTTAAGGTCCTTTCCAACTCAAACCATCCTGTGATTCTCTTAATCATGTTATTGTGTGTGGGCCAAGATGTGTGGATGGGACTCCCAGAACGTGCACATCCACAATGGGAAGGAAGCACAGCATCATAATTAACTTTACTGTAAATCTGTGTGATAACAGATGGATGGTTGTTTATAAACCATTCCAGGTCTGACTCTTCTCCTGCACTGTGCCAGGGGAGCACAGCCAGCACTGCCAGGATGGTTGGGACATGCATTTCCTGGGACACATTCTATTTTTCCTTCCACTTAATCCTGTTTTATCCAGAGCCACTCAGCATTGGCAGCATTCACCTCTCTGTTTATCATAAGGACAAATAAATTGCACTGCCTCACTAAAAGCTTATTAATTTTAAGTAAATGCCAATCTGGAGTGTGTCTGGGCTTCTTCAGGAGGCAGCGGCCGCTGAGCAGAGATGTCACGTCACGTGCTCAGAGTTTCTTTTGCACAGAGCTCAGAGGAACTGAAATGCAAAGCAAAAAGATGAAAACTATTCTTTAACTTCTTTGCCAACAAGTCCTCGTATGATACTGTGCAAAGAAGAAAAGTTGTAGAAGTGCGTGGCAGATGAAAAATATTTAAGCCCCGCAAAAAGTCACTGACAGGTAACAACTTCTTATCTCGCTATTTGTACAAAGTAGCTTTTATATTAGTGGGGAAAAAAAAGAATAAAGGACGCTGCATCAGCTTGTGGGCTGCTTGTGGATCAAAAGAGTTACCTTCAGTGCAGGCTGAAAATAGAAAACAGATAGACACAACTGTGAAGGTTTTCGTGTGAAAAAGGGGGAGACGAGCCTGAGTCAGGAAGGACTGGACAGAATTTCACTGAAATGGAAAATAAGTAGGTGAGTAAGTAGGTGCATGTGACACAAAAGATAGGAAACCTGGGTCTAATAAAAGTTTCTGGTATTGCAGATGGCCTGATTTTCTTCTCCTCTCATGACATGTTACCGAAATTTCAATTCTCTGATTTCAATTATTGCACTATTTATGTTGCTGTAGTACCAAGAGTCCCCGTGGAGAAGAGGCCTCATTATTAATGTAACACAAACAACTCTAATGGTTCCAGCTTCAAAGAAATCCTGATGAAAATGGGGAAGGGAGATGGAGAGTGGCAGAGAGGAAATACCAGCGTGTCTGTGTGCATGAGGAACTGCAGCCCTGGGAGCTCAGGAGATGTGATGGAGGTGATGGAAACCCTTCCTTAGCACAGGTGTCCTCTCCCATCCCATCGTGCTCCTCTCCTGGAGCCCCTTGGATGCTCCTTGGGAGGGCTGGACTTGCATTCAGGTGACCCAAAACCAATAAGAGAGAACTGGGACTGAGTTTTGTTTAGTCATTGTGTGAGAGATTGGGTAAAACATCCCTCCCTGGGATAAATTCTTTGGCGTTTCTGGCCCTGTCTGAGGTGAGGGCTGTGCATGCTGAAGGTTCTCTGAGGTTGCCAGCAGCTATCCCACCTTTGTACCTACCTATTTTTGCCCCATTTTTTTCAAAGTTTTCTGCACACTTCAACTTCTATGTCTACTTTTTTTTTGGCTCGTCTTTCTTCTGGGTTTTTTTTTTTGGTATTTTTTCCTCCTGATTTAGAATCTTCCTCTACCCATGTCAGTGTCCCGTTGTTTGGTCAGGCTCAGTGGCCTTTCAGACCTTTCCCACTCAGATGGATAAATGTGGGTTGCTCTTCATTGGCTGTGATCCCTTATTTTCTGAGCTGTGTTCATTGAAGCTTTGCAATCAGGCTGCAGAATCCTATTTAAAAATTTTACCTTTTTACCTGCCCTGTGCTTTTATGTTTTATGATCTAGAGTTTATTTATCAATTAAACAGTTCTCTTCATTTTGTAGCCTTTCAGAAATACTCGTAGCCCATGAACGTAATCAACTTACCTCAGCAAAACATTGTTATTTGATTTACAACAGAAACTACACCGTGCATATATCACACTGAGGGCAGCTGGGAGTTAAGCAAGTGCATAACTTTAAGCCTGTGCCCAACTGCTCTCCAGAATGAGGCCCAGGACTGGGCTGCAGTGCTTCCTCTGCCTTCCGCAGGAAGCTGTGATTTTTTATCACACCCAATAATTTAAATAAAAACATTCAGATAAGCAGCCAAATATCTGGTTGAAGGAAAGCTACTAGACAGAAATTGATCTTGTGTTTTATAAATGCCGTGGCTTCAGAGGAGTTTGCGAGCCCTAAAGCTTGTCTGCTTTGTTTCCCCCAAATAAATTATCTTTTCCAATAAAGATATAACTGCTGCCCATAAACCTGTCTTGATGTCTGTCTCCAGACTATCAACACTTCTGCACAATGCGTGTTTTCAGCGTGCAGATAAATAACCATGTGTGTAAGATTAAATTTGCTCATTGTAGCCTTCCTTTGTTATGCACCACAAGCATCCCTTCATCGGGATGGAAGGGAAGGAGGAGTGGCAAAATTGAACCACACTTTGTGTGGATTTTCTTCCCTTATCCCGTGATATTTTTATAGCTGTTGCACTTCTGGACTGTGCTGTCTATTTAGGGAATAACACATCTGTGCACAAATGCTGATCCCTCCCCTTTTCTTCAGTTTTGGGTAATGCTGTGAAGTTAATGCTTTGCAGAATTAATAAAAAAGGCAACTTGCACATGTAGGAGTAGCAGAAAGACTTTGATGCTTCCTGGTATCTCACTTCAGCCTCATGGGCTCAGACTACGTGGAAGCCATGCAGACACAGGAGGATAAGGATCCCTGTAGGGTTTCTTAAAATTTAGATCTCATGAAACTTTTAGAATGCAAATCCTACAAAATAATAGAAGGGCCTGAGTCATTTAATTCCTATAGTTGAGTCTGCTCTAGTGAGCCAAGAAAAAGGGAGTTCGGGGCTAGAGCCAAACTTTTCTCATTTCACTGAGATATGCTTCATAAATTTCTGTTCTGTGCAGGGAACTTCATGCCTGATAATGAGAATAAAGGGTTTGAGGTTCTGTCTAGACCTTCTTTGGCAGATGAGATGGTATCTCAAATGCCTCCACAGGAGCGAACCCAATCATGGGCCAGGTTTGGACCATCCCTTCCAAGGACCAGCACTGTGTCCTTCCTCCCAGACCCCTCTCAATTGGGCTTGGGCTGTTCTGAGGGGGTGTAAGAGCCATGTATGACAAGCAACTTTCCTCTCTCCAATATTCTTTATCTTTTTATCTTGGTGATTTTTTTTTTTTTGGTGTTTTAGGCAAAGTGCCATATTTTTGATACCATGTGGGGAAATACCCAACTTGCCTTCTTCTCACATTGGCTTCGCTGTAAGGACTCACAGATGTTTTTAAGCTAATTCTAGCAGTTATTTAAGTGAGATAATTCTGCTCAAAATATAACTCTTGATCCTCAGAGTGTGTGAGGTGAGCACAGAGGGAGGGTCAGGTGGCAGCACTGAGCTGTGTGGGCAGGTCTGACCCTACAGCTCTCCTCTCTCTCCCATACCTGGTTCAGCCCTGGACATGATTTAGCTGCCAAAACTCAGCCCTGTCATGTTCCCTCTGTACCTTGTAGCTCAAAGGGGATGGGGGAGAGAAGGAGGAGAGGCAACACTGGCTTTTCTCCACCTTAGTGCAGGATGAACACATTTCTAGAGCAGCTGTGAAGACTCAGGTCTCATCCTCATCCAAGTGCACCAGAGGGGCCAGTGTGATGGTCAGTCAAGAGTGTGGCAAACCCTGCCAGTGTTTGGACTGTCCCATGGCACCTGGAAGCCATCCCTGTCTTCCCTTTAAGATTTATTCTCAACACTTTTTCCAGCTCTTGTATTGTGATACTGGTTTTAAGGCTCTGCTTTGACAGGCTCATTGACATTAGTGTGTTTAGGGAGGGGGAAAATCCTTGATAAATGTTGCATGCAAATAGCTTTTTGACCTGGTAGGATGAATTGAAGTCATCTGTCTGTGTAGGAGTAGAGTGTTATTTCAATGAGAGTTTATATTCACTTCCAGGCTTTTTTTTCCCCGCTAATGAGAATGTGCATCCTTGATCTTTTTATCTTTGCACCCTGGTATCTTTACTCCTTATGTACAGTCTTAGCCCTCTGCTGCCACAGAAGGACACCATCTAATCAACCTCCAACTTCTCTCCCTGAAGCCCAGCTCTCTTCAAAATTTGTGTGGGTTTTGATGCTGACAGCATGACCCCACAGTGTTTTAATGTTTAATTCTTTCCTGAATTATTTCCTTTTCAAATGGGCTGCCAGGTCCCTTAAATAACAAGGTTCATGTTGTCAGATGCTCTTCGTGACTAACCTGAAGTGCTTCTCCCTCTCCTTAGGTGAGAATGTGGACAGCAAATTGGAGTCCTCGAGAGAGCAGATGTCAAAGGACCAGTCAAAAGATTATGAGATAACAATTCCCTTCCTTTTGAATGGAGAACAGTGGAGACCAGTAGATGACATATATTCAAAGGTTAGTCTTCATTTTGCCTACTATTTTATTCTAAGGTATGTAACAAGTTAAAGGCTTTAGGGGGAATTAAATGTACTTTCTTCATCATAGATTGATCTTATCATATAGGTTGATCATATAGGTTATAGAGTGGTTTTTATATTTTTGTTGTATATCTAAAATTGTTACTTATCTAATTTAAGAAATGGATAAGGTGTTTGGTTAAAATTAATAGGTTTTTCCTGCAGAGGACATTCTGCTTTCTGATGGCAGAAGTGGAAGCTTAAAGTGAAATGATAATAATTTCATTGCTTGAGATTATATCACGGAACAGCAAAACAGCCCCAAAATTGAGGGGCAAACACAACAAACACGTTTGTTTGAGTAAATAGAGTCTGACAGCAAGAACTTTAAGGAACAGTGTAAATAATGTTGCTGTGCTGTCTGCAGCCTGAGGCATTACCTGGAGATAATTACCAGTTATGGGAGACAGCTCCCAAATTCCATCCCTTGTGCTGGGTTGGGAGTCAGGGGTGACTCTTCCTTCACACTCTGCTTTCCCTCTGACTAACAAGGGATAATCTGCCTCTGGCTCTGACCAAACAGAGTCTGTTTCCCCCTCTTGACAGGCCCTGATAAGCTTTCCCTCCTTTTTTCCCCTCAGACATTGGCAGATAGTATGTGTAGCTGCTTTTAGGAGAAAAGGGCTGGTTTTTGTCTCCTTGGTCTCCTTGAAGAGTGAAGACATTTTGTTGTTTATTATCACCAAAACTGTCATGGGAATCTCTTACCCAAACTTTTAACTCAGGTGCAGTTTGGTTACAACTCGCTTTTTATGTTCTTCTTTTAGTTATCAGAATGAGGAGAAAAAAAGTTATATTTTTAAAGAATTAAAAAAAAAAGGGAAAAAACCCAGGCAAAACCCATCATATGAAAACAGTGCAGAGAGGCCAGAGAGCCCATTAGAAACCCATTAGCTTTCACTACTGGATTGGGAAAGTGTTTCATGGAGAAATCCTGCTTTACTGCCATTGCTTGTAGGACAAGGCTTTGCGTCATGTTGCTGATTGACAGAAGTAGGTGTGAAAAGATATTTCAAAACAGGGGCTCTGGGTTTCAAAAATCTTGTCAGGATTAAAACTTTGTTTTCTTTTTCCCTTCCTAAATAGGAAAGAAGGGCCAGTCCCAGCTTTGAATCTCCACAGTGGTGAAAGGGATATCATAGTGGGTGTATAGGGGCTTATCTTGGAGAGATAACACAGATGGCTCGGTCCTGGATGTATGTGCAACTCTATTTTTAGATAATTTAATTAGAAACAGGCATTCTCCATAGATATAGAGGCCTTTTAGCTACTCACTGTAGCTTTCTGAGAGAGTTACAACAGAATATCTTTATGTGAGTAATGATAATGTGATTTATATTGTTAATTTGTTTCCCAGAATTACTTTCAGTTTAAGATGAACATTAGAAAAGATTTGTGGCTTGGTAGAAAGATCCACGTGCTGTCTCAGCACTTTTTTTTCCTTTTGAATGCTTCTTTTCCATGGAAACATAAATTAAATACACAAAAGTGCACATCAGGCTGTGGGAAGAACAACAGCTTTAAACTAGTAGAGAAGAGTAATGAATAGCTTGTCACATAAATATTGATCAAAAGCACAAAAGTTAAATACTGTTGTACTTGATGGTTAAATAGGATCTATTGTTCTCCAACTCGTTCCAAAGTGTTCCTCTGCTTTATTTTAATTGTATATGAAGTTAAAAAAAGTATGTACTTGTAAGCAGGGAAATGGTATTGCAATAGAAGATATAGTAAAATAAATAATGGAGTGGCTATAAAAATGCCAAAGTATTAAAGTTATTAGTGTATAGATAATTGCCTGGCAGTGATAGCCCCATTCTCCTATCCTCTATCCATAAATATTCCCGCTTAACAATTAGTCCCTGGGAAACCACGCTGTCATTTAGTGCAGTGTGCTCTTTCTCTCCCATCTAGGAGATAAAACTGTCCTTTTATTTACCCCAGGAGCCACTGCAGTATCTGTTGGAATCTCTCATTTGGAATCTGTCAGGAATGATTATTAAGCTAATGACTTTCTGGTTGAGGGCCGTACACTGTGCAGAGCAGGAGCAAAAAATCTGATACCAGTCACAGTTTCTCATGGCACAAACACACAAACCTGCTCAGCAGTAGCAACGAAATTGCATTTAATGAGGAAAAAAAAAAGTTTCTTAGCTCTAGCCTGGTTTTACTTTAGTACAGTTGGGGTGTACTTTTTCAAGGACATCTAATGATTTAGATGCTTCCCAAGAATGGCAGTTCAAATCAATGGTAGGCAAACCCCAATTTTAAATTTAGACATGTAATTAAATTATAATTAAAGAATTTGGGATTCCCTCAATATAAATATAGTGGTTTGTTTCGGGAGAGAACTTGTCACTTACTGGGCAGATCAATTTTCTCTTCACTTTCCCCAACTTGAGTCAAAGCTCTAAGGGACCAAGACCAGGATCTCATGGTGGTGGAACCAGTTCAGAAATGCTGCTGCTTCTTTCTTGTTTAATAAGATAGATATGCACATATAAACACTTTATATAGAATCACAGAATCATTTAGGTTGGAAAAGACCTCCAAGATCATGCAGTCCAATCTGTGACCAATTCCCACCTTGTCCCCCAGCCCAGAGCACTGAGTGTCACGTCCAGTCCTTCCTTGGACACCTCCAGGGATGGGGACTCCAACATTGCCCTGGGGGAGCCTCATTCAATGCTTAACAACTCTTTTAGTGAAGAAACTTTTCCTAATATCCAATGGGAATCTCCTCTGGCCCAACTTAGGGCCGTTTCCCCTTGTCCTATCAGTGCCCTATAGAGTGAAGTACATTTAAAAAATAAAATATGGATACTTAAGAGAAGTTACCACAGAAATACCCGTATGATTTTCCAACTATACGATGCTGTTCATCTAGTTAGGGGTTATTAACATTTCTCCTGGCATCTTCTGTTGAATTCATAAAATTTAGATCATTTTCAGTCAGAATATTTTAATAGTTCCCAGTTAAATTCTTTTATTAACTGGATATAATATTCGGTTGCTAATCCTGAACACACTGCTAAAATTAGTGGCTACTATTTTGAGTATCCAGTTGTTGCCAGTCAGGGCTGCTGATGAGTAACTGCATTTGTGGGTGTGTGACAGTGGAATTGGGACCCTGAAGGGTTGTGCAACATCACTCTGTGCCTTTCTAACAATAGCTGCCCATATTCTGTGCAGATGTGATTTCCATCCCCGCTGAAATCCTGTGCATTACAGAATGTGTTGATAGGTCTTCATACATTACAGCTCCAGTTGTCCTTCCACTTCTCTCTTTTTACATTTGCTCAGCACTTTGCATTCTGTGTTGATTCCCCCACTCTCTCAGTGCTTGGTTTAAACCCAAGAGGGTTGGGTTCTATTTTTCCTGGATTTTTCGAAATTGTTTCATTTTTATATTATTCAAGTGCAGGGAAAAGACTCTTTTCCCCCTGCATGTTTCCAGCTGAATATTTTTCTTCAAACTTGGCTGGAGACTTGCAAATCAAGCCAAGTTTGATGAGAGTTGGGTAAGTGATGTTTTAGTACACAGAGCACTTTAGGGAAGATTTTTAGAAGACCATCTGTTTGGCTTCAGCTTGTATCCTCACACCCTGTAAGGGACACACACTGGTTAATGTGTGCCAGATCCCTGCATCCCAGGAGCTGGAGGTCAGGTAATATCTGTGTTAGACCGGAGCCTGGAGCACATGGCTCCTCTTGGAGAGACAAGGAAGCATTTGACATGGGTATTAAGGGGTTTTTGGCTGCATTTCTATGCTTAAAAGCTCGTAACTGTGGGGAAATGCTGCTGCCAGAGCCCATCCAAGGCAGACACGGAATAGCTGCAGTGCTGGGGGGGATCCCAGTGTGGCATTGCCCTGGGCTGCCACTCGTATTCCCAAGGTGACACACTGATTAATGGAGTTGGCTTTGCACCCAGGGTTTAGTCCAGAGCTTAAACTGCATGAAGTTCCTGGGAAATTGGAAGCATTTTGTGGGTGTATGATGTGATCCATTATGCAGGTAAACACAGAGACCCCGGGTTGTGGCATCTGCCACTCAGGTGTGGGATTTTTCTCTAATCTTGGCTCTGCAGGATCTGTAATTCCCTCATTGGCACCTGCAAGGGCTCAAATATAATCATGAGGCTGACCAGGTGCTTTGAAAGATTCAGTCTTCTGAATTTTCTGCAAGCACATGAGCAAGTGAAGTGCAGCTTTCCTTACTGGGTAATACTTTGCTTATTTTGATGCTTTTGGACCTATTTTTGTAATTCTGATCTCTGTATCCATCTGAGTACAATATTAAACTGCTCCATAAGTAGGTGTGTGCTCCAGTCAGGATACAATTGCCATAAAGTAAGACAAATTTGAACACAGTTGAACCTGGGCAGGTATTGGAGGACTTGTAGCCAGGCAGCCTTGAGCTGAGTGTGGTTTCTGAAGAGCCATATGAGAAGCTGGAAAACCCTGAAATGCTTTAAGTTGCTTTGAGTTTGGGAGTTGTCAGCCCAGGCAGCTTTCAAATGACTCAGTGAATTTGATTTTTCACTTTAAATTTGGGTGATGTGTAGAGAATAACAAGCAAATTTTGCTGTGTAACTTCTGAAAAATAATTAACTCTGAGAAAGTAGGTGCACACAATATACCTGTCAATGGGTTAGACCCTCAATCCACTTGGATCACTGTGAGTCTCTCTTTTAAAATACTATCACTGACCTCAATATATAAAAAATAGATTGGAAAAGCAACCTCTCCTCCACCTTGTAGAGACTTAGACCTCTGGATCAGTGGCTTTCCACACTCCAAGAGATTGGGGTTGCTGTTGGGGTTAGAGACAAGCAAAGAAAAAGAAAGATGCCCACGGTGGGCAAAGAGGATGGCAAGAGCTGTAGAATGTCCCCTGACAAAGAACAGCTATGACTCCAACACTAGTGACTCTTAA